CAATAGAGGTTCATCCATTTTACTAAGCCAAAGATGACGAAAAAAAATGTATGAATGCAATGACAAAATGCGAGAAGAAATAAATGACTGTCTTTGTGTATGTGTGTGTGTAGTTTGGCATGAACGCTAAAACGTAGCTCTGTGGTCCAGGAAATGCAAGTTGATTAATTAATACTAATGTAATTTGTATAAAAAGTACGAATGTAGCAAACGCACACGTGGAATGCTGTTGAGGTATGAAGTGCAAACGACCTTCTCGTTTCATTATATCAATACATTCTGCATGTTGCAGCAATGGCAATTAAGGCCAATAACATACGAACGTGGAAATTCAAAGTATATGCAGTACTTTGAATGTCCACGTCGAAGGTAAGAACTTTTTGAATTATATTTTATTAGGGATCGTTTCCAGCTTATGATGCGCCCTAATTTGACGAGATTAACATTATCGTAAGATCGAGTGTTGATGGACATTGTAACGACGACTAGGAATGATTAGATAGCAGGAATTCTTGCATTCCATCAGAGAATGTATAATAGAGAAGAAGAAACTAATACGTAAGCAGCTTTCGTTATGTGTGCTCATTTCCACTTGGTATAGACTTACGATGCTTAGATATGCATAATCTTCCAAAAGTATTATCATAGCCCAACGTAAGCGGCAGTTTCCGGGTTTCACAGCTATCGCAAACGACCTTGATGCGGTTAATCAACTAAACGTGTTTCTTATGCGCACAGGCAACATCATTATCATCGATATACAACAAACAATACTTTTGAAAATACTATCAAAGGTTTAATAAATTACTTTGTTTTATAGATATTAAGAAATAACAAAAATCGTAATAAAATGAAAGATTCATATTAATAATTCGCATAGATTATTAATTGTTAACAGCTGTTGAACATCATTTGATATTTAAAATGAAGTAAATGATCATTTATGGAATAATTTTCTAGAGTAAGCAACACATAACTTATTTGTCAATTATGCAGTTTTTGCATACTAAACTCTATGAACTACTATTATCAGTGTACGTGATAATGTATTATACAAAGACTCAATGAACGATTGGCCCTGAAGAGTACTTTATTAAAACAACATGGAGAGACGTACGAACGTATGTAAACATCACTGAAATGAATATTTAACGCTTTATAAAATAGTATTTTTTTTTTGAAGACATATTGTTATGTCTGCCTGTGTAATTGAGTACCAACAAAATATATGCACAAAAAGGTATAGAGACAAAATTGTGCAGATTTGGCACAAAGGATGTGGATGTAATTTTTCAGAAATACAAAGAGAAAGGAAGCTTTTAGAGGAACACATATTCTTTTTGCATACAAAAATCTTAGGATCGATCGGAAAAGAACCGCTCGCATGTAAACATGGAACAGTCATTTTGCTTTTTATTTCGTTTCGAGTAATGCTCGTTTTAGATATACGTCGAGCGCCATTTTATCGGAAAACATTCACCTCGAACCTCCCCACCGGCCACCAATTTACTCCATATTTGAAACACGATACGCGCTTATAAAGCACACATACACCACATTACACCATTGTTGAACATACATATAGACACACACACACAGCAACTGCGTGCGCTATGCACACACTATATTCTATTTATCGTGGAAAGGATAAATGCCGATGAACAAAACAGAAGAAGAAAATATGGGCGAGATGTTGAAAATAAATAAATGAGAATACTCGCAGTAACCATAAACAAGCACCGTAAAACGCCCATAAAAATCGTATAAGGGAAGCACGGAGACAAAAAAGCATTCTTAAATATGGGCATTTCATCTGAATATAGATACATACGTATACATTCTTTTTCTGGTTTCCGCTATTTCAATTATGTCTATGTCTTCAATTATGTCAAAAAACTGAACCGATGTTTTGACTTTATTAATCGGCGAAGAGGAGTTTGATGTAGACATTATACATTTTCTTCGGATAATTAAAAATTAAACCGTATTACGTCACCCGGAGTATATTAAGAACGGTTATCGGATGAACGAGCTTTGATAAAAATCACCAGGAGAAATCCTCGCTGAAGTCCTTATCTTATTGGTATACTCTTGACTTGGCAGGTGAAGCCCGTGAGCTGCAATGATCCGCAAATTTTAAATGCCGTTTGCTCAGTCGAATCAAGATTGTCGCGGCTTTCGACGCAAAGAAGAAGTTAAGTGGAATGATGAAAAACTACTGGTCTTCAGTTTGTAATGCACACGCATCCAAGGCACTCGCGGCGAAGGCTTCATCAATTTCATCATCATCATCAACGATGAGAACGTCATCATCTGCCGACCAATTCTGATGCGGCCCTTTCATCGTCGATCGCTAACGAGCTTTAAATCATTATATTTATTTAAAATGAACACAAAAAATGAATGCAGCAGAGGAAGAAGCGCCAATATAATGTTTGTGCAATGCACTCATGACGAACGAGTAAATGCGTATTACGCAAGATTTAATATTAAATATTAACGTGGAAATTGGGCGGCATCTCATCTTTGGAAAAAAAAAAGTGTTTATTACCGCGCGCCATTTATGTAATAAGTTTACTTATAAACATTAAAATGTAATCATACAGGTTTTAAACAGCAAATACAATGAATAGAATGAGAAGATTCTCAATTTTCAGAAGTTTATTAACCTCTAGCATAGATACTACGTGAGACGAATAAGGACGTTGAGGATGACGATCAGTACCTTCAACTATAGATAAAATTACAATATTTACAAATTACTTCTACGCATTATATCAAAATGCTCAGAGCAGCAATGCTCAGAGGAGCAATGCTCTCTGATACGCTTATTCTAAGATGTAAAACAAGCATTCCAATAGTTATGTTACAAATAATTTCCATTACATTGATTTATAATTCTAAAAGACATTATTGTTTTTTTTTTAAATATCGCTTTTACGATCAACATTCAAAACATCATTATAATACAGTACTGATATGATACTGTAAAAATAATTTATTAATCGAAAAATGTTTATCGTTTGTTAATGATGAATAAAATGCAAGGCATGTGCTTTTTTTATACACACAAAAAAGAAAAATGTGTTCATGTTCCATTATTTAAATGACTTTAACGAGGAAAATTGCATGCAGGAATTAAAATTCCAATACATATCATTTATATATATATATACACACAAGGAAAAGAAAAAACATAAAACAACGGCAACAAACAGAATGTAACTCGCATTGCAATTATGTAAAATTGGTTTTCATATAAATATCGCATATATTCCGCCCAACCTGTACTTTTAACGCGAAATGAAGAAAAAAAAGGTAACCGGCGCAAGACTAAGTTGAAATTATGTATAAAGACTATAATTATATAGTCATCAAAATCCACGTTCAACTCATTATAAATGGATAACTGCAGAAAATACACTTTCTAGACAAAAAATATCATTTCTATGGACAACATTGAAAAAGGTGAGATAAGACATTTATACTAATTTCAGAGTTTTAAAACGTGTTAATAATTATTTGAACATTTAAATTACAAATAAATAAAATTTGAAAAATCTACCAATTCTATGTTTTAATAATCTAATTGAATTGAAAATTTCATGTTTATTAACTTTACTAGCTGTTTAAAATATATTTGTCTATAAAAGTAGTGTTATAAATTAGTTAAAAATTATTAGTTTGCATATGAACTGATTCATGTTTTGCCACAAAAAATCTATTTAATTTAAAATAAATAATAAAAAAAAGATTTATTTAACTAAATACAAAGGAATTCAGTAAATACACAAAAAGCATATGAAATAAAAAAATCATAATTCGCTTGTTTCGTTCGCCAAGCGGTGATTTTCCCATTTACTAGCTTAGTCAATGCAATTTTACATAAACGAATAAACTTATTTAAACAACAAATCTAAGACTTAATCAGTTTTTTTCTTATTTAAGTAAGATAAATGATAACAACATCTGTGTTGAAAATGTGGTACACGTGATATTTTATAAAATATGTAAAATATAAAAGACAATTAACAAATTTTACTCGTAATGCTTTGATCTTTGCGTTTGGATGGTTCTTGAGATACGCTCAAGTCTCTTTACTTCATCCACTATATACGGCATATTGATTGACCAGAAAATCCTTGCTTTCTTCCAACTAAATATGTTTACTTCCTTAAAAAATCAATCAACCAGATGCAAGTAGATAACATTACTTTTCTTTCCACTCTTTATACTTTTTTCTTACTAGGAGTAAGTTATGGAATTACAATGTTGATCTCATTGTTTTCAGTTTTTCGGAGAAATAATCCCTCAGATATTCTTATTTAGCTATTATTTCGTTCCGTGAGCGCGCGAACTGGGCGACGTCCTTATTTATTGGATTTATGGATGTGGAAACACTTTGCACGACAATACAATATACGGTCGTAATTATATATGAAATAAAAATAATAAATACAGGGTGTGGAACTAGTAGTGTTGCAGTTGAAGGGTATGGAAGGGGGAGGGGGTCATTGAACCGGTCAATTCGCATTTAATTTGTGTTCATCATTAATTATTTTCCGACATCAGCAATGCCCAAGAGGGCGAGACATACAGCCGCACACAAAAAAAGAAGAATAAAACAGAAAAAAGTGCCGACGAGTCGCAAAAAGGGAAATGAGACGTATAAACATGGTAAACAAAGAATTGTTTAAAAACAAAAAAAAAACCGGCTTCGTCGAATTTTCTTATTTGGGAAGGGATGAGAATGAAGGGATATTAATTATCATTAAAGCAGCAACATGGAAAGCGTTTTCCCAACCCCCCGTGCGAAGCGTTCATCTCTTTTTTTAATGTTTATGAGCTCACATCAACCATAAACAAAACACCGTCAGCGGTGTTATTGTTGTTCTTCTGGTGGTTATTCAACATTAGATTCTAGGAATGCGACGTTGTACGATTTATGTGATGTGTGTGGCTTCCAACCGCGAAAAAGGATGCGATTTTGCGAGGCTTACCACTTGTTTGTTCAAAGATTTGGAGACACTCGGGAAAGCATTGACCAGTCTACGGCGAGATGTCAATGGTATGAAGGGGGGGGGGAGTATAGAAGTAAGTCTGCAAATGTGTGTGTGTATATATAATTATATATATATAGGTATATGCTATGTACAGAAATTGGGAATGAGGTTTAGCGACGGCAGAAACGGCGAGAGAACGTCGAACAGCAACAACGCACACGACACTTTAACACTAACTGAATTCTTTTGCCCGCCGACTTGCGATACTCGCCAACGCCGCCGCTCATTGCGTATACCTAAGTTAAGATCTCTGCGCGAACGGACCAACTCTATACAGACTGCAAACTCTACATATGTACAGCATATTTACACATAGAAGGCTCCTGCTTTTCCGTGCATACTACACACACACACGTCGATATGTTCGTACGTACATAGTTTTCCACATACATGCAACACACTCGGATGAAATAGACAAACAAGGAAAAAATCCTCTTATGTAACGTCAATTGCGAATCGATATGGCAACGCGGTTCTGGTCTCTTATTACCGTATTCACAGTATGCGAAAACATTAATAAATGTACTATTCAATTGGTAATAAAATATACAGTGAGATACAACTAAACTATAATGATAAATTACTTAGTAAATTGAAACACATTCATTTGTTGAAAACATCGGACATTTACGTTTATGTAAGAGGCGTCGTCAAATCAATTGATATTGATTATTTAGATGTTGTCATAGCATACTGTTTAATTAGTAATATTATACATAAACCTATCACTGATATTTCACATATTGAAAATAATTTTACCATTATCCATTTTACTTGAAATCATTGAATACCTCTATAAGAAACATTTATAAAATAAATTGATGCATTATGCAATTAACTAATTTTGTAATTTTTTTTTTTTAAATTAAAGATTCTAATATTGTTCGAATATTTTTTTAGAGAGATTATCATAATATTAAGACTAGTTTGTATGAGTGACGTAATTTCAATTGAGATATTATAAAAATAAATAGTGGAGTCTTTCTAGAAATGTATTCTGATGTTTTGTTTATAATCAATTGTAATCAATAATGTTTGTTATTTTAGCTGTGAATAAATATTATTGTTATTATTCCACAATATATGATTAAATGCAATTCGCAGTAAACACATATTAAAATAAAAATGTTTCCATTATTATTGTTAATATTAGTATGATCGACAAGACAATTATAATATAATCATAACTATCAGATTTTGCTTCTTAATCTGACCACTGAAATTATTAATTGTATAGTTAATATCAGTTTACGTTTATAATAAAATCGCACAAAAAGTAGTAAACTTTAAAATAAACTATATTTAAATATTTAAATTAAAGTATATTTATGTACTTTGATAAACCGCGCCCTTTATGCTTAAATATAGTAGAAAATAAATTCGATAATAATTTCGGGTTGCGTTATGTTACCATAAGCAAAGCGCGCGCGCATACAAAACATTAATTCTGCGCAAATGACAAAACGCTAAAAAACATGTTTATAATGGAATTTGATTCAGATGTAAACTGATAAATCCATTTTTCAAAAGGAAAACACTAAATAAATGCATTTTTTTCAAAATTCTTATAGATTATTCAAACTGGAAATAAATTATTTATTCATTATTTCATCGAGAGAAAAACATAATCTAGCGATACTGATTATTAACATAATAGAATACTGACAATTAGTAGTGTGCAAGATATGAGCAATATCCTTATCGATCTCACAAAATAGATTTTTTTTCGGTAGAAAAGAAAATAAACTTTTTTGTTTAAACTACAATTCAATATCAAATTATTTATTTATGATTACTTAGAGTGAAAAGGTATCTTGCGGTAACTTGTAGTATGTTTATATAAATAATTCTTCAGAAAATATTTAAATAAAGATGAAGGAACACAAGATATAACCAGTAAATGCTGGACTGATTGAGGAGAATTCCTAAAACATACGGTGCGCCCTCGCCCTTCATGCAGATTTGCGTTGATCATTTAATTACTCCAAGGGTCAAGTTTTATAGGGTCATCACATAAAAAGATTTATCCACCCTTTGCATGGGATGTAATCAAGTGCGTTATCCGGGATTAAAACCCAAAAAAAAAGCGGAGGCGAATAACGCTGTAACGCCTGGCGCTATCTGCCAGTATTCTGGCGTCTCAATGGTGGCAAAAAAATAAAGAAGAAATGTCGCGCTTTCGAGAATGGCTGAATATTATTAATGGCACATTCGTTTTTTTATTAATTGTGCCTTTTAATTCTCGAGGAATGGAAGTAAGACAAAAAAAATAATGCTCAACTACTTGGGTTTAGTGTGTGTAATATGTATGCATTTTTGGTCCCCTCTTGATATGTATTTTTCTCATTTTATTTCCACGCTCCCAGTTCACGGGGCAACGTTCTTCGGGCTAGGCCCAGGCTGTTGACGGTGGTGTATTTCGGAGAGCGAGAAAAGAAGAGAACGTGCTCGCCTTGCCTCAGCTTGGCTTGGCCGCACACGCACTGCTTAACCCGGGGTGTATTATTGATTTTTTTCAAGTTTGGCCCCTGGGCCACAGCGAGGAAGGGCCGAGGGGTTGCCGAAAATACACGCTTCGTGGCCCAGCAATATACAAACACACACACACACAAAGAATTCAAACGAAAAGATCATTACAGAAACGGTTAAATTTAGTAACGATATTTCCAACATCTTCTCAAAGATAACGCACGCAAAAGTAGTTTAGTTTACTTGTAAATGTCAATGCGACTATTTAAATATGTACTTAGCAAATAGTGTGGCAACAATAAGAAACATAAATAATTAAAATGAAAAGATCCATATTTCCTACAATTCCATAAAGATAACGCTTAAAGATCATATAAATCATCGTTTACGTATGATTTATATGATCTTTAAGTTTGGATATCGCAAATACAAGTAGTTTGACATACTCGATACATAAATAAATAATTTAGTAAATTCCATTACCATTTGGTAATAATTAGTTTTTTTTTAAGTAATTTATGTGCATCCCATGTTATTTGACAAGTAGCACGAAATCTTTAACTGTGGTTACCATAATATCAGCAAATGAACGTGCGATTATCATTTTGATGTGGTCGATCAAAAATACAAAACAAAAAGTAACGACAAACGACAGGGGAAAAAAACAATGGAAATGAGGAGGAAAATAAAAATGAATCAAAACCCCACGGGGCTTTTATCTCGCTGATTATTATTTTCGCTTTGTTAATAACCGAAATGGCAGGGCGTATAAAAAAAGCATATAATCAATGCAGAGGGGAAAAAACGCCGAAATATTCACTCCCGCAAATAACGCCCCTCATTGTTTTATTTCACAAATAACGAATCATCTAACAAAACAAATAAAAAAAAAACAACAAGATTGCTTTTCAAATACAAACTAAAGTAAATGAATGTTTAAATTTGATTTTTAGAAAAGAGCTTACTTAATACAATTATCCTTGATATGTATGGGTAAAAAAAATAATGTGTCATTTGTATTTAAAGTTCGAATAAAGAACATAAAAGTACTCGTTTTTATATTTAAAAATGTCTATCCTTTTTTAAAATGTATTTAACTATAACTGCTACTTTCAAAAAATCTTACATTAATTTTGATAAACTTAGCCACAAGATCAAGTACACGTGAGAATACGGATGTTTTCCCATATATTTTGATACGAGACCATTGACTCGTTTTTCAAAGAAGATACAGCAGAAAACCTTGGCATTTCCATTTTCGAGTAAACGATTAACTGCAGGTCATATAGTTTGATTTCTGTAAAAATAAATTTCCGTTTTGCATCGAATTGACAATAATGAGTTGAAAATCAGACATATTACCATTGGTTAATGAGATTCGAAAACTGGAATTTCAAGATTGGAAGGATGCAGAAAAACAAAAAATGTTTAGTCTTCGCTTATAGTAAATACGCATATAGCACTGAAAATGTTTTTTTCAGAACTCAATGAGTCACTAATAAAAAATCCTTGTACACGAAGATAAAACCCGGGGTCCTTATCTCGCGGCTCCTGGCTTTCATTGATATATAGAACAAACTCGATTCGGGTTACAAAAAAAATCTGTATATTCGAGAGACACCGAAATGTCATCAACATGTTATTGACCTTTACAATTAATAATTCTCGAAAATAATAAGTTTATCATTCGGCAAATTGAATAGCAGCAGAATCGAATAACAAGCAGTTTTATAGCAAACTGGATACAGAATAGAAATGGTCATTCGGTCTGAAGATCGGAAGGTAAAGAGTATGGAACACGTTTGTATTATTATTTGTATAGTTCTTTTTTGCTGCAAGCCGCGATAATTCAACATCTGATCGATTGGCGCAATTGAAATTGCAGAATTATTGGTCCCGATGGTTCGTTCTTTATTTCGCTTAAGAAAATTTGTTGATGCCGTCCGGCGATCCGCTTCGTCAAATCTACCTGGCGTGGATAATTTTACGATTTGGATGGATAGATATGGTGAAGTCGATGGTGTGCCAAAATTCTACCAGACCGGTTTTTCGTGCATTCAAATACCGAAGGAGCCAAAGAGACAATGTCTCGTTCAATCAATGGCCCCGAATTCGTAGTAGTCATAAACTATATGCATCTGTGAAAGGAGCAGCAATAACAAGACTTCTAACTTATTACTGTAAACATCCAATCAACGCAAGATAATTTATTATTGTAAGATAAGCATCTGTGTTGCACATAATATCAATAGAGATTAGTCATATCACTAGAAGAAAACTGAATCTACTACTTTTTTTTAACAATTATAATTATATTAATGCATTTATCTACTAAAATATTGAATTGATTCCAATAATAAAAATAAGTTGAATTTCAACCAAAATATACGGTCAACAGCCCTTTGGTCCTAAATGGGCCAATAAAAATTATTAAATAAAAATAAGTGAATAATAATATCAATTTTGCTAGTTAATGTATTATTTATTGCTTCTTTATTGGAATTGAACAAATTTGAAATTAAATCGAATCGAGTGAGTAACTATATATAAATATATAAGGATATATAAATATATTTGAAGACGAAAGTATTTTCAAAAAATATATAATATTTTTATATTTTTCTTAATCTTTATTTTAAACATGAAAAAGTTGAAAGTTTCAATTGAATAAAATCTTGAAATTAAAATAAAAATGTACTGAATTTTGAGTTTGTAGAATGGCTAAATACAGATCAATTGCAATGATGAAATTAGGAGTGGTTTCTGAGATTCCACTGTGAAAATTATGTTTGTCAACCAAAAATGCGAATGGTATA